ACACATCTTTTACCTGAGAAGCAGCCATTTGGTCCTGGTCCTGATCAGGGTCTGGGATGTTGTCTCAGGCGAGGATATGTTGAGAATCACAGGATATGCCTTCAAAGAAGTAAACACAGGCTCTTAATCAGCTCACCTCACACTCACAGTCAGAAGAACCTGGAAATGAGGAAGAGGCCACCCCTCCTGTCCTTGGTAACAGGAGAGAGTGAGGAACAATGAGCTCCTACATGGAGACCACACTGTGAGGGGTTTTATTCTGTCTTCATGTATCTGTCCTTCAAAAGACTTCCACAAACTCCTACAGAAATGAGAAAGTGAGCTGCTATCCAGAACCCCCCAAACAAACAGAGCACCGCCTTACCTCCCCTGAACAAAGCCTGCTCCCCACTCTCACAAAGGCATCCTGCACCCCTCCTGTTAATCCCTGTCTTCACCTTCCAATCACCTGGAGGCCTTCAGTAACCAATGATGCCCCACCCAGAGCAGCTGTCCAACTCTATGGGGCAAAGTGCCCTGAGGGCATTTTTTTCTTTTTAAAAAATATTTTATTGATTTTTTACAGAGAAGGGAGAGGGATAGAGAGTTAGAAACATCGATGAGAGAAACATCGATCAGCTGCCTCCTGCACGCCCCCTACTGGGGATGTGCCCGCAGCCAAGGTACATGCCCTTGACTGGAATCGAACCTGGGACCCTTGAGTCCGCAGGCCAAAGCTCTATCCACTGAGCCAAACCAGTTAGGGCCGGAGGGCATTTCTTAAAGCTCTTCAGGGGATCTGAGACCCAGAGGATTTATCTCAGGATGGTTTTAAATAATAAATTAAGTGTCAACACATAGAAAAAGTAAATCCATGGAAGAAACACACACACACAGGCACAAAACACCACAGCAACAAACCTAAGGCTTGAAAAAAGCATCAGATAGTGACAGAAACAGGTCACCTCCTCGTGGCCATCCCAGGAAATGGGAACCCATGACCAACAAACAAGTCTCTCCACTCTGAGTGAAGAAAGATTGCAAATGGAAACAAATTATTATAAATTCCCAAGCCTTATAAACTGGAGATTTGTCACTCTCATTCAATCTGTATAACTAAAACAATTCAGCTGTTAAATTAAATATATAAAGCCATGCTTAGGCGGCAAGACTCAGTGGTTGAGATCGGACCTCTGAACCAGGAGATCATGGTAAGATTTCTAGTCAGGGCATGTGGCCAGGTTGCAGGTTTGATCCCCAGTGAAGGACCCGCAGGAGGCGGCTGATCAATCATTGTCTCTAGCCATTGATGTTTCTATCTCTCTCTCCCTCTCCTTGTCTCTCAGAGATCAATAGTAATATATATATATACACACACACATAAACCCACAAACCAATATATCACAACTTAACCATCCACACCCCATCAGCTCACCCCTCACCCAGATCAGGGTTCCCCTCCTCCCACTACATGTATTTCTGTCTGTGGATCTGTCTCTGTCTCCTGCTCCCTTTC